GTCGCTCAAACATGTCTCGTGTTCATGGTTCGCCTGTGTGTTTTCCTGCAGGTATGCTGGTTGTGAACGTCACCTGGAGGAACAAGACGTACGTTGGAACCCTGCTGGACTGCACGCGGCACGACTGGGCGCCGCCGAGGTACAGAAACGACTCCGGCTCACGCCGTTCGGCCGAGACCTCGAGTATAAAACGAGCTCGTTGTTGCTGTGCTCAGTCGCCACCGTGTAAACACGAATGAACGTGTCAGGGAAAAATATACAGATATACGTCTGCAGGTCGATACCTGCAGATGTAAACACAGTGACAGGCTGCAGGTGTCATGCAGGTAAACAAAAACAACATGGAGACCTTCCTGGCTCATTAATAAGACAATAAGTCTTATCCAGTTACTCGATGGAGTAATCAATACTCGATTACTGATCGTACAGCTCTGTGTGCGATGGTTGTTTGAGTCAGCTGTGTGACACCTGTGTACAGGTGAGGTCAGGTGTGTCTTTCGGCTCGCTGACGTCCACCTCTGTGTTTTTAGGTTCTGCGAGTCTCCCACCAGTGACGTGGAGATGCGGAGCGGCCGCGGTCGGGGTAAGAGGATGCGTCCCAGCAGCAACACGCCGTTGAACGACAACAGCAACTCGTCGGACAACAAAGGCAGCGGCAGCAGTAAGACGCGCGGCGCCGCAGCCAACAGCAAAGGGCGGCGTGGCAGTCAGACGGCTGGCTGCGGCGAAGACGCCAAAGCCAGCCCGTCCTCCGCTAAGAGGAAGACGAAGCCCGCCTCGGATATGGACCCCACCTCCAGCTCAGAGGACACCAAAGCGTCAAAGCGCATGAGAACGAACTCGACCGGCGCCGGGACGCCTCTGCCTGGAAGCAAAGCCGATTCCCTGCCGCCGCTGCCGCTGGACCGGACCTGCCCCTCCCCCGTCCTCATCGACTGCCCCCACCCCAACTGCAACAAGAAGTACAAGCACATCAACGGACTGAAGTACCACCAGGCCCGCGCCCACAACGACCACGACGTCCGACTGGACCAGGACGGCGACAGCGAGTACGGGGACGACCATCCCGAACCCACCTCCTGCAACGGCGCCGCCATCTCGCCCGCTCGCTCCACTACACCGAAGGGTCGGGGCTTCGACGCGCCCTCCCCCTCACCAGGCAAGCTGACATCAAAGGTTAAAAAGAAGACGAGCGAGGCCGAGCCTGAGGTGACGGACGGCGGCGAGGAGGGGGCGTGTTTGACTGACGAGGCCAGTAACGACGGCATGGACGACAGGAAGGTCAAGAAAATGACGAAAGCTGAGAAACTGGGACAGAAAGGCTTGAAGCTGACTCGCCCCGCCGGCGCGCCCGGAGTTCCCTCGCCGTACTCCCTCCAAGCGTCCTCCCCCGCTCTGGGCTCAGTGGTACAGTCCGTACCCAAAAGCCCCCAGCTGAAAAACGTCCAGCCTAAACCCGCGCCCCTCACTGACCCCGCCTCCAGCCCCGCCCATTCCAAGGACAAGAAAAAGAAAGACAAAAAGAAGAGGGACGGCGGGAAGGAAGAGGACAGCCCGAAGGCGACGGGTAAGGCGGCGAGGCCAGAGGAGGGCAAGAGCCCGTACTCCGAGGCGTCGGACGCTTTGCTCAACGGCTCCTCGGAAGCGCAGCAGAGCCGGCTCGCCAGCATCAAAGCCGAAGCCGACAAGGTGTACAGTTTCTCCGACAACGCGCCCAGCCCGTCCATCGGCGTGGCCAGCAGGATGGAGGCCGGCCTGGCGCCCGCGCTTCACATGACCCAGAACGGAGCCGACAACACGTCGGTCAAGACCGGTAGCCCCGCCTACTCTGACATCTCTGATGCTGGCGAGGACGGCGAGGGTAAGGC